ATTGCCCAAAATGTGCTCAGACCTTCATAACTCAATAAATGCAGGTCTGGCGGATTTTTAAGAAGACTTTTTTTGAAAGTGGTGGTGATGTATTTCAAGGCATTTGGCAAGACTGGTCAAATAGAACTCTCTCATATGATGAGACATCCAAAATGAAGTCCTTAAGGTGAACCGTAACTGCAGTGTACACTGTAGACACCAGTGTCTGTGAAGGGATTGTACCACATCCTTGATTTTAAAAAAGACAACACCTCCTTGAAAGAACAAAGGGAATCTAGCAAGGGAGGTAATACTGGTAGGTCTGGACACTTTCTCCTTAATTTACTAGGGTTTTCAATTCTTAATTTTTGTTAATAGTAGGGCAATTTATATGTAGCCCTGACATGGATAGCCCACGCTAGTCCGATCTCGTCAGATCTCAGAAGCTAAGTAAGGTCAGCCCTGGTATTTGGAAGGGCAACCTCCAAGGAATACCAGGGTTGTGATGCAGAGGCAGGCAACAGCAAAGCCACATTGGAAACGTCTCTTGCCTTAAAAACAAGTCTAACTTGCCACTTAGTAGTGCATAATACTAAAAGACCTAGAACTTCAGGCTGCCAGACAATCTTAAGATCGCCTGGCTATTCTATACACAATGCCATACGATAATTATTTTTATTATTAGATTTATATGTAGGAGAGCATTAAAAATGGCCTTGCCTGTAGTCCACTGTTCCGCCTCTGGATTCTGTCTCCTTATTGTACTTCATCAAGCTTGATTCCAATATGATCCTGGAGGGCAAAAAGAACCTACCTGTATGATTTTGCATGTGCCTGGCATCTTGTTTAAACTCAGCTTCCATCTATTTGTCTTTCAAGCACAGTTTTATCCTACTCTTTCTCCAAGGAGCTCAGGATGTCGCACTTTGTTCTCCTTCCCCATTTTCTCCTTACAACAGCCTTGTAAGGTAGGTTTAGCTGAGGGTGAGTGACTGTCCCCAAGTCAATCAAGGAGTTGCTTATAGCAAAGTGGAGGTTGGTATACCTGGGTCTCCCCAGTCCCTGTCCAGGACCCTAGCAGGTTTGTCACACTGACTTTAGGCTGTGCCTAAGGTGTTAATGTCCCAAGGACCTATAGCCCAGGGGTAAACAGTGTGCTGCCATGTTAATACTGTGTCTGCATTCACTCTGTACGTGATGCAGATTTATATGTAGGAGATCCTGGGTATGTGCAAAGTTGCACAGGTAAGTTATTTTGTCCTGCCTGCATCACATTTAAATCTGGCCTTATAGAGCAGGCGTCAGTCTATCCAGGTCTCAGGACCCTGCCAGCAGTATATAATGCAGAGGTCCCTGTCATATGTGGGAACAAAGACTAAAACAGGTGCATGCCGCAGCCTAGGAAGATTGGTGGTGGAAAGTACTGTCAAGTCACAGCTGACTTATGGAGACTCCAGAGGGTTTTCAAGGCCAAGAGATGAACGGGGTGGTTTGCCATTGCCTGCCTCTGTGTAGAAAACCCTGAAACTTCCCCTCCATTCCCTACCAGAGCTGATCCTGCTTAGCTTCTGGGATCTGATGAGTTCAGGCTAGCCTGGGCCATCCCGGTCAAGGCCTGGGAACATTACTGCAGTGCAAATCAAAATGGTGGTAAATTCAAAACAAAGCCCTTATAATTGACTGATCTACGTTCAACTATCATTTTCATTTCATCAGGGGTCGTTTCGTAGAAAAAGAGCTAGGGGAACTCATTAGCATAACTCATTAGCATATGCCACACACCCTGACATCACCGGAAGTGTGTCATAAGGCCACACACCCCGCCCCCAACGGTCCCGGCTGCCGCCGCCGGCCTTGCAGCTCCGCTGCCGAGCCCCATAAGGGGCCCGGCAGTGGACCTGCAAGGCCGGCGGGAGTGCAAGGAAGCCCCGCGAAGGCCCTCCCTGGCCCCAGGCATGCAGGGGTGGGGAGAGGCAGGGAGGAAGCAACTTACCCTCCCTCTTCTCCTGCTTCCTCCTGGCTGAATGAGGGCCGGAAGCGGGGCGGCCGGAAGCAGGGGGCGGGGCTTCGTCATGTGCCCTGCCCCCGTACCTCACCCGGGGGAACTGCGATCCCCCCCGAAATGACCTCTGCATTTCATGCAAAATTAATCATAAAATCATTTAAAAAATGGGAGGGAAAGCAGCATGGTATAGTCCAGTCTCTCAGATCTTGGAAGCTAAGCAAGGTCGATATTTGGAAAGGAGACCACCAAGGAAGACTCTGCAGAGGGAGGCAATAGCAAACCACCTCTGCGTCTCACTTGCCTTGAAAACCCCTTGCTGGGGTCGCCATAAGTTGGGCTGTGACTTGATGGCACTTTACACGCACAATTATAAAATAATAAGAAACAGATTGAAGATACCTGTTAAGTCACAACAAAATGCACAACAACATGTTTCTTGTTGAGCTATTTTGGTCTTTGTGTCTGGGGCCCCTTTCCTTTGTCAGAGAAGTTTTGTTTCCATATGACAGAGAATGGTGTACAACCTGTCCTTTGGGGATGGGGGTGGGGAAAAGCAAGAAGGGGGAAAAATGCATGACGTGAACTTGAAGCACGGCTAAACACATGGTTGAAAAAGAGTTCTGTTGTTTTGAGTTTAATAACATTGCTTCTTTCCCAGCTATCAAGTGTAAAAATCAACGTCAAATCAAATGCCAGTGTCTATAACTAGCTCAAGAGCAGCTTTTTAAACTGAGGAAGGGAAAAATCAATCGTTGGCAGGGCCAAGGGGTTGCCATTTGATTCAATAGCAGCGAAATAGTGGGGAAAAGCTGAAATCTTGTGAGATTATTTTGCAAGATCTTGACTGCCATTTTGGGTTGCCTGGGCAACCTAAAACAATGTTGTCAAGGCCCATATCAAGAAGGGAGGATTGTTATTGTTGTTATGGCTGGGAGTGGGAGGAGAAGGGATTTTCTGTCCCTCGTGTGAGTCCGCTTCCTGTTAAAACCGGGACCTTTGTTTGGACTGTTGCCAAGATAAGCTATCCATGATTTGTCCCCCCCCCCCCCCCCCCATCAAGTGTTAAAGCAGATCAACGCTCTGACCTGATCCACACTGGGCCTCTGACAGCTGATTTTGCAGCACAATCACACATTGGAATCTGAACCCAGATCCCCATTGCTATGCCCAGTTTAGGCCTCCGCATCAGGCGCGGAGAGGTCTTTCCCAAAACATATCTCCCTAGAGCCTTAAAAACTGGAAATGCTAGACCAATGTCTTGGGACCTTCTGCATGCAAAATGTGTGTTCTGCAGCCTGACATTGGTCAGGAAAGGTTACTAACCAGCAGTGGCAGCTGTTTTGTGCTCTCTCTCTCTCTCTTTTTTGACATTGAAAGAATATGTAATCTTGCCCTCTTTGCAAAAGGTATATAGATGGCTTGTGGACATATCAAGATAGATGCCTGCTCCATCTAGCTCTGTACTGGCTGTCTGCTTTGATTGGCAGCAGCTCTCCAGGCTCTCTTCCCGCCTACTTTCCTAACACCCTTCTGGGATCTTTTACCTTCTGGGACGTTCTCTGCATGCAAATCAATCGTCCGCTGCATCACTGAGCTCCAGCCCCATCCCGTTTTCACATCTGGATAAGCTCTCCCCAAAGCCTAAGAGGGCACAATGGCTAGGAAAGCGCTGCTGCAACTCATAGGGATAAAGCATGCATGCGCTAATGATGGTGATATTACTTATTCCAAGGCGGAGAGCTGAGCCTGAAGGACAACTAGCTCCGTGTGTTGACACATCTCTCTGTTCCTCAGCATGCATCCAGCCCGGCTGTGACCATCACAGCTGTACTGCTCTCTCCACCAATTAAGGGTGCCCCCCCCCCAGTCTGCATTCACCAAGACCA